AAGATTGCATGCATTGCACCCTACACTGAAAAGTATCGGTTTTATCTTTGCCGAGAGAAGCTTTTTCAGAAGTATTAAACACCCATCAACCCCTTCGCGACGGCCCTGTGCATACCATACACATATTAGTACACGTTTTAGTACACCTAATGTACGAGTATTTGCAGCCATAACTTATAAATATTACCACAAATACCATACAAACATTAGCAGACTTACCATACAAATATTGGTAAACGTATCATACAAGTATTGATACGCATACCATACGCGTATTAGTACATATACCATACATTCATAAGTACAGGTAGCATACAAGTTCCATTGTACGTAACATACAAGTATTAACCTTTTTAAAGGAAAATCGTGATGTTCAGCTCATTTTTCATTTTCCTGGAAATAAATGTAGCCGGGCCCGCTATTTAAGAAAAAAAAAATGCTGTGGCCTATGTATCCACTTTAATTAGCCAAGTAATCAGAAAATAGGTGAGCAATGCAAATAGGAATAAAGCCTATAATGAGAAAATGGGAATATTGGGAATTGTAAAGGGTAAATTGGTAAAAAATGACGTTTCTTTAATTAGACTGCTAAGCCTTATTATTGTTATTATTATTACAAATTGCAATGGTTTTGCTTATATAACTTTCCTCGTTTTCTTTTTTTTTTTTTTTTTTTTAGAAAATGCTCAAAATAGACAAGGAAATGTACACAGACTCTGCACGGAGAAACAAGTCCTGATGGCTTGATTCCAGAACTTTTGGAGAATCGCCTAACAGCACACCTTATTCATTTACTTTCATCTATATATATTTGTGGCTCTGAAAGGTAAAGATATCAACGTTTTTTTATGATTAACAGATTATGATTAACCAAAAGCATATGCACCTGAATACGGTATCCCCTTTATCTATTAAACTTATAGAAGTATTTCGTTTCAGTCGATTTTTTAAACCTGTAATCATATATAGTGTAATGATAACAGTAATGAGAATAATGATAATCCTCATAAATTTCTTTATCATTGCCATTACAATGATAACAGTAAAAATGAATACTATTGTTATTAATGTTTATCATCATATTTTTTTATCCTTGTTATCATTGTTATTATTGGTATTATTATTATCATTGTTTCATGTTATTATTATAACGATATTGGTAATATAATACCATTATATGTTAACTTTCTTTCGATTTCCCCTTCCATTTCTTTTTCTTTATTTTTCACGCCATATGTAGAAAAAGGATACGAAAAGAAGTGTATAAAGCTGCAAATACTATATTCAAAGGGTTATAAATGTAGGCCTATAACATGTCTAAATGAGAATAAACTGTATTATTTCTAAAGTCTTCAGTGCTTGACTTTACTGGCCATTCCCTCTTGCCTCTCCTCGTCCTGCGAAAGAAATGCACTCGGGTTAGGTACCTTTGAAGAGGCCATCGCGGTGTGCATGGGATAGGCCTATGATCTTACCAGAAAAGAAATCTCAAATATAAGCAACGCTCGGAGAAGAAAAAACGGGAAATCGCGAAGGGGTTTCTCTCTCCCTTACTTGTGTTCAGAGCAAAAGCCTGATTGAATTCTTGACCATGAGCTCGAGCCAGAACGTGTGCGTCTGGATGAGAGTAAATGCCATCGGGTAGTTGGAGCTGGGGTCGGTGACGGGTCCCACGCCCGTGACCTCGACGCGACCTGTGCTTGGGTCTTGGTCAACGGTCACGGATAGTTCAGCCTGGGAAAAAAAACGAGTTTTATTTCTTGTCACTGGTTCTGTTGAAAAAGAAGAAAAGTACATTTTTTAAAATATAAATATCGAGGGGTATGTATAGACTAATAGGTAAATAAGGAATTGAGAAGTAGGCATACGAATATACAACGAGGAACAAGGAAAAATGACTATCTAAACGCACGCACGGAGAGAGAAAAGAAATCAAAAGTTACCCCTCAAAAAATACCCCCCCACCCTACGCCCAAAATAGAAAACGGTGCATCCTCGAGTTTAGTTACCTCTTTGAAAGGCCTCAAGACACACATGTGGTGTCTGTTGAGGATCTCGTAGAGCGAATTCCTACTCTGGCCGCCTCCAGTTCCGAGGGCTCCGAGGGCTTCGAAGCAGAGCAAGGAATTGAAGGTCTTGGAGTTGGCCCACGAGTACTTTGTCACGCCTGTTGGTAAGATAAGAGATTGGCGGCCGGTTATTATCATTCCTCTTATATGGCGGGAAATATTGAATCAGAGGTTAAGATGAACATTTCCACTTCCTAGGTAGGTAGGTTAGCTCTCTCTCCTCTCGCCACCCCCTCCCCCTTCCCTCTCTCTTGTAAATAATGGAACAAAATATTTTGAGTGTATGTGTGTGTCCATCCGTACATAAATACATACAGATTTAACCAGATGCAAAATGTGTATATTGTTAATTATATAGTTAAACACATACACACAACAAACAAGAAAACACACACACACACACAACACAACACACACACACACACACACAC